AAAAAAAAAAAAAAAAAAAAACAGATTTCTTTCGAAAGAAACGCAAAATACAATCGATGTCTGTCGCAACAATTAACTTTCTACTCTCACAGAGACGCAATTAAGGTACTTGAAGTGCACCAAGAGAGAAAGAAAAAGAAAGAGAGAGAGAGAGAGAAAGAGAGAGAGAGAGAGAGATAGAGAGAGAGAGAGAGAGAGACAGCACAACCGACACAATGATTATTTCTACTCGCAATTAGACGAGATTCATAACCACCGACATAGTATGTGTATGCATGTATGTATCAGAACATTGGACGAGAGTTGGCTACAGGTGGTCCCGGGCAAATCAATATTGTTCGGGTGTATTTGTGAATACGTGAGTGGCCTGAATGCCCCTCGCGATACGCAGCCCCTGAAACCCACCCATGATCATGATATTGCACGTTCTAAGCACCATCTCGTCTTACATATATGTATCCATAGTTCTGGATGGATATTGTGGGATTGGTGTAATTAGAAAATTTTAGAGGACTCGAGCATTTCTGATGATAAGTATTGTGCGAGAGAGTGTAAATGGAAAGAAGAATTATATTTATGTACATTCAATGTTTTTACGCTGTGGATAAAGCGTGAACTTATTGCGTATTATCATTTGAAGACTGAAGATGGAAAGATATTATGGATATTTTATGGATATATATTGAATGTAACTTAATTGAAATTTAGTTTGATATTATTAATTAACATGATGAAAAGAGTTTTATATTATGTAAAAAAATAAAAATCTAAGAGATTAGATAGTATTTTTTCTTAAGTTCTTTTTTGGTATAAATTTGAATTTTTATTTGTATATTTAATATAAGTATTATATGGATAATCTCTAAGCTGTTGTATGATTAAAAATACTATTGATGGAATTATTGATGGATGAAAACGTGAAAATAATTATTAATTTAATAAATTAATGAATATCTGTTAAAATAATTATTAATTTAATAAACTAATGAATATCTGTTAAATATTTGTTTTATCATATCTTGTGGCTCTAAAATAAAATCAGATATCAGTACTTACTTTCTAATCAAAAATTACAACAAAGATTACTTCCATAACTATTGTTATCAATAGATAATAAATAATAAAAATACTGATACTGGCGAAACAATACTGTCCATGTTATTCATATCACCAACTTCATAAAAAGCTGTAAATAAATTTTTATATTCAAATTAGTTCACGTTTTAACCACACTGTAACAAATAATCTTTCTGTAAAATTAAATACTCCATTTGTTACTGATATTTTCTCAATAAACGAGTCTCTAAATAGAAAGAATACAAATTCTAAACTAAATTATACGTACATTTTGATTAGAAAGATTTGGCACTGATGTAAATTGGACACGAAAGCAGATAAGAATCAGCGTGAAATTACATTAAAATTAAATGAACCTGATTCGAATATCACATTGACACATCACATGAGTTATCAGAGTCCTCGTCAACCTCTTCTTCGAGAAGATATTCTGGATAACCAAGTGCGAGTACATCTTGTCGCGATAATTCCTGTAGATATGGATAGAATGATATCAGTTTGTATTGACTGATACACTCAACTACCCATTCGTGGACGATTGATATGGCATGAACCATTCTATACCATTCTATGAGAAAGAAAGAAAGAAAAAAAAGAAAAACAAAAATTTTAAATCATTATAGAATTATACTATACTATTTGGAGAAATGTTGAGAAAGTTTTGTGATGAAGAATAATATTATTTGATCTAATCTTTTTCAAAAATTATTCAAATATAAATAAAAATAATAAATAAAAATGAAAGATTTTTAACAAAAAATAATAATAAAATATTCAATGAAAGATTTAACTTACTATATGATTTGATGTAATTTGTAATTTATTTATTTAAAAAAAAATTCTGAATGGATAAATCGTGAAATAAATTGCTAAATTTAAGAGAAATTGATATCTAATATCTAATATAAGCATTAGAGCATAAAATTTTATTAATAATCGTAATCATTCCCAATAAAGATACGATGATCAAAATGTTTTAAAATGTCCTTCAATGATAATAGCCTATTCATCTAATAATAGGTAAATATTTGTGAGCGTTAATTGATTCAAGAATAAAAAAAATAATTAACAATTTTTAGTAACTTTCAATTTAACATGAAAATAATATTTTTAATCATTGAAATAATTCCTCGTTTATCGTTTATTTTTTTAAATTGTAATTATGAGCAATTTAAAGAATAACTTACTTATAATTTCGTACTCATACATGTCGGCCTGGATCATGATGATCTTCAACCGACTTTTTTCAGCGGCTAGAGCGGATAGAGACTCGACCACAATAGCACCAGTAGCGCGTAGCATGTCCTGAAAAGAGAAGATATCTCTAAAACTTGGCTGGTATTCAAGCTGAAGTAATATAGCAAGATTGGATGGCGGAGACAACATAAATAAAAGCGTTTTTTATCAGATCAGAGTTTCGCGAGTTGCTCAAAAGTAGTAAGATAAAATTTGATCCAAAGGTGTTTTGCTTCGAATTGGAAGTAAAAATTTTATCTTTTTTACATTTTTTAATATTATAATATTGAATGTGAAGGATATACCAAATGATTGAACTTTATAATCTAATTCTATTATTGAATTAAAAGCAAACATGTTTGGATTAAATTTAAATTAGATTATCTAATTTTAGAATATTTAATTTTAATCTTTGATTGATGTTATTGGGTCACAGACCTACACTAGTCACAGTTTTATTACACAAGATATTCAATTTTAGAATTAAATTAATAGCATTTTATTTTTAAGTTTATTCTACGTGACGAAATACAGGTTTGAACTCGAGCTAAAATTAAAATTCCTCAAGTATGTTACATTTAATTAAAATTTAATTCCTTATTTCTTTCTTACGTCTTTTTATCATTATGTCAATTAAATATTTCTTTACTTCAATCATCTCAATTTTAAAACAATTCCAATTCAAATAAAAAATTAACGATTTAAATAAAACAATTTAAAATCCTTGTAAATCTGTCACACTATAAAAAGATCACTGTAAAATATCTTCCAAGAATCCACCTACCTGATATTGTTCCACGGAAACATTATCATAAGGTCCATTGCAGAAAAACACGAATCCGGTGAACAGATCCTCCTCTCTGAGCCGTGACCTTCGAGGGCCAGCCTCGAGAGTTCTGGAGTCTACAACCTCGTACGGTTCCTCGTTCACCAACCTATTCTCTTTCAACGAATTGATCACCCAATCGAAGCCCACGATCCATTTTTTATGGGCTACTCCTTGCAGATATTTCAGTGTCTTGTTAGCGCTATTGTCTTTGTCCGTTTTCACTATCACGTGTGTCACCTCGTGATCAAATTGCGTTCTGTATTTCGCGTTCACTTTTTGCGTCAACATCTTCACTTGCTCTGTTTCGGACGATATCAGACCGCTGCATATGAAACAGAGTTTCTGCGTGACGGTATTCCGAACAATTGTCCTCTGAGAAGAAATATTGTTCCTTTCAACGATTTCGTTTTCAACAATGCTTCTCTGATCGTTGCCTCTTTGATCATTGTTCCTTTGACTAGTGTTTTGAACGTTACTTTCTTGATCACTGTTCCTCTGATCGCTCCTTTGAATAGTGTTTTGAAGATCGCTTCTCTGGATATTGATCCTCTGCTCGATATCTCTTTGAACGATATTCTGAACGTTGCTTCTCTGAGAAGCACTCTTCTGACTACCGATTCTCTGAACAATGTTCTGTTTGTTGGACTGTTCGTTCATGACAGAAATTCGCTTTGCGATACCGATTATGTTTTTGAATTGCTGCGTTTTAGGGGTGCTTTGATGGAGTGGTTGGATATTGGTCGTCGAGCCTGGAGTGCTAGCCAGGTTGCTTCCGGTGATCGATGATGGTGTTCTGACGTAGGCTGACTTTTCGATGGTCTTCGAGATCGATGGCAAACTCTCCCTCGGCGAATTTATTGCTTCTAATCTGGAAAATAGGTGATAAAGAAAAAGAGTTTCATTGGGTGAAATGATATTTTATAGAAAAATTTATTCAGTGAGAATTTAAAATCATTTAATATCCTAATTAAAGATTTCTTTAAAGGAAATTTGGAATTGACAGTATAATCTTCCAATAATTAAAGAAAATTTGTTTAAATTTTTGACGAGATTTGGTAAGAAATAAAAAACATGTTTACATTTTGATTAATGAACTTAATTAAATGAATAATGTACCTCTCAAAACTTAAAAAAGTTAAAGAAGAATAGACGTTACGAGAGACTCCCGTTACTTACTTTTTCCTCTTTGCTTTAGGAGTGTTCTCAACAATGTCGTCTTCTTCACCCGAGTGTTCAACGTCCTGGATATTCTAAAGCGGAATGAGTTTTTGAGAATGCAGAATCTTATTTATCTCGTAATTGGCGGAATGAATAGTGACGACGTATGATAAGTTATCGGTTGAAAATACAACAGATATGATATTGAGTGAAAAATTTTTCTAAACATTTTGAATTATTTAAAAGAAAAGTTACCGAGTCAAGGAAGGGAGAGAGTTATTTAAGAAAAAGTTCACTAGACAGAGACATTGTTAGAATGCAAAGAAAGATATCATAAAACTTTGAATAGCTTCCATACCGATTTTTTAGGTTTTTTTCTATAATCTAGAGAAAACTTTATCTCGTTTGCAACAAATCTTTTTAAATTTTGTTTATTGAATCATGATCCTTTATTAATATTTTTTAAGCAAATAATTTTTAAATGCATAATTTTTAAAATTACATTAGAAAATATTTTATTCTACTTAATTTTTAAAAGTTTTTGTTACATCATTGTAACTCTAGAATAATAATGTTCTATCACAAATTAAATATTAAAATTTTACATCTAATATAAAATTAACAAAAAATGTTTGCAAACTAACCTTTTCATTCTGTCTTGAATATTCTTTATTCTTCTTTAGACTTTTTGGAGTCCTCTGTTCCTTATTTAAAGTATCATTAGAATGCTTAGAAGGTTTACCAAACAGATCTTCCTCGAATTGTTTAATCATCAAGTCATCTTGCGTGATGGCCATCAAAGAATCATAATCGTGTATATCTTTAACCATCGAACTATTCGCACTGTTATTCATTTGGAATCTCTTATCAGACGAAGACATTGGATTCTCTATCAATGTTCTCGTCGATTCTTTACTACACGATTCGACTCTCATTTCTTCCTGAAATCTATTCCTCCTCCAACTCTTATTACTCACATTTACACATACTAAATCTTCATTATCGCCATTGTCACTATCAGACACGTCCATTTTGTTCCTGTTTTCTTTATCAGAACCGTTGGAATATTTATGTGGAATTTCCTTGTTCCATGATCGAATTTTTTCGCTATACGATTTTACGTGTTTAGATTTTCTCTCACAATCGTTCTTTCCCTCCATATATTCTTCCCTTCTAGATTTGTTCCCCTTTCCATCATCAGAATCAGTGATCAGATCTGCCGTGTTCACATTCGCAATGATATCGTCAAAGTTATCATGCATCAAATTGTCCGCAGTCTTCGCGTTCTCTCGTTGTTGGTTCTCCTTAAATATCGTTCCCTTCCGTACATTCTGCACTTTGTCTATTACCGCGCAAAAATCAGGGGAATCCTCGTCGACAGCTAGCGCCACCCTGTCCTCCAAGTTCTTCGTCCAATTGGAATTCGATTTTTCCTTTCCAAATTTACCAACCACCAGGTCTGAAAACATTGTTTTTGTTGGTGCGTGGACGGCTTGTTCACCGATTTATCGCGATCCAAGAAGAAGAGAAGATCGATAATTGTCTAGAAACGAGGCTTCCTCCCCGATTTCCACGATTTTTCGATGTTTATTCGTGGAGATCGACTTTTTCCCTAGGCACATAATCGTCGCTCGAATTTTCAAGATTATATTTGGAAAAAAAGAGGAACGATTATACGCGTTCGAAGAAGAATTCGGTTCGAAATCTTGGACAAGACAACAGCATATCGAAAAATTGTCAGAAATTAGGGAGGAAGCTCTCTTTCTAAATAATTACCCAAAGATTTCGTGGAAAAATTGTCCCTAGACGTGCTCGAATCAAGAGTATCGCGTATTCGTTCCAGTTTCCCTTTCTTCTTACACCTCTCGTCGAGAATTCCATCGTTGCACCAATTGCTCACAATCGCGTTCAAGTCTGTTTCGTCGACCGAATCGAAGGAGGCGGTACGTTTTCTCTTTTCGGTTTTCGGAGAAGCATCAGAACGATCGTTACCGTCCAAGAGAACGAAGTCCATAGATTCGGATTCCGAACTGTCCAACAACACGATCCTGTTGTACACCTTTTCTCGTATCTCCTTCTTGCAAGTTTTCGCCGCGTCCTGATCCGAATTCTGCCCTGTTTGGATAACCTCGGTTTCCCTGCTGCTCGGATTCGGCGATCGTTTCCTCTCGTTCAAATTACTTTTCCTCGAATTTTTCACCTCGGGCGTCGTAGTTCTGATACACGTGGTCTGGGACGACAGACTGTGATTCGAATCATCATTCTCGCCCTCGTTCTCCTTCGTCCCCTCGTGGAAAAGTGCCCTCTGATTCCCGCTCGAATATTTCTCGATCGGCGCGCAACAGGAATTACATTGCGGCGAAATACACGCGAAAGAGTGCGGTTTCTTTCCTTTGCTCCTCGTTGATTCGGGCTCAGGATCGTTCAGTTTTTGGGTTTGAAGAGTGTCTATCGGAGGCGACGAAGAGAGGAATCGTGGCAGGGAACGATCTTTCGACGACGGCGATGACATTTTCATTGTGTCCTTGCACGACGAATCGGTTTTAGGAATTGGAGGCGTGATCGATGGTTCATCGTCCGAGGATATCAAGAGCACGTCCACGTCGTAAGATTTATTCGCGTTGTCGATTGGACGAGGCATAATTTCCTCGCACGAAATTCGTGCAGCAGCCACATTTTCCTGGTTTTCGGATACAATTTGATGCTCCACTTTCACCTTCGATTTTATCGGTTCCTTCGCGGCTTCGACATTTTTAACGTTGCTGCTACTATCTGTTATCGATACTATACTTGTTCCACTCTTGTCAATCCCTTCTTCGAGCTTCACGTTACACATGGCAACGAAATTACACGATTTATGAGTGTGCAAGCCGGGATAATAACTCGTCTCCTTCCCGGTTGCGCTCAAATAAAAGAACGGGATGCGTTTCTTTATCCTCCCCTCGTTGCCTCGCTTGTAAAATTTCCCCAGCTTCTTAAACGTGACCAGGGACGCATTACGCTTCTTATCCTCCACCTTTCTGCCCGCGTAATCATTCGATGTTAAATTTCTCTCCCGTTCATCGCCCGTGGTTTTACGTTTCCCTGTTCCGATTATTCCGTCCACGTTCCCCTTACCTACATCAACATTCCCTTCTTCTTTGTCAATCTGACGATTCAAGTCTCGCCTGACGGCGTTCAATCGCGAGCCAACGTCCGAGTTCGAGGTGTTATTCGATTTCGAATCCTCGCTCTGTCTTCTCAACGACAACCTCTTACGGCTAGGCGTGGAGATTTGATATTTCGACGGCATGGAACGATGTTCCTCGTCCATTCGCTCTTTTGTCGGTAAGCTTCGCTCGTTAACCGATTCGTCAACCAGATTCGCTCGATCTTGGTCATCCTTGTGTGATCCTTCCGGTGTCATTTGGGAAAATATCTTTGAACGATCGTGAATAGGCGTGTTGAACACCTCCATCTGTCTCTCCGTTTCCTCCTCCCCCTCCTCCTCTTTGTTGTCCCCCTCAATTCGACGATTCTCATCCGAGACACCGATGATCGCTTTCATCTGACAGCTGTTCAAATTCCGGATGCGTATCTTGCCATCCTCCTCCAACGTGATGAAGGACGACTCGCCGCACGGCTGAACTTCCGCCGATATCGATCTTTCTCTGTCCTCTCTCTCATCGCAACGAGTTCCCAAACTTTTCTGGCATTCGAGGAATTCCTCGTCCACGAGGATAGCCCCGTCAACGTTTCCATCCTCATTCGATTTTTCGCACTTACTCCCTCCTCGCCTGTCGCTCGCCCCTCCTATCCGACCGAACGATCCGACCTTCTCTTCGTCCACCTCGTCCATCGATCGACATTTCCCTCTGTTCTCGATACTCACGTCCAAAGACTTCAATCTCTTCCTCTTTGCGCGCATCTCCTTGCCGAACTTGGCCACCGAGGACCAGTTCCTCTGCATAGCGGACAACATGTCGCAAGGAGACGTTCTCTGGACCTCGATGAATTTTTCCTCGCTCTTCCCCTTGTCATCCTCGCTCGATTTAACAGTTTTAGACTTGGTATCGTCTGGCTTCGTGTCGAAGTCCATCTTCGACGAGTAATTTCCCACGTTTATCCTAGACTTTTTATCGTTCTCGTTGCTCTCGTTCTTGTTCGAGAAAGTCTCCGGAATCTCTTTGCACGTCGATCGATTGGTATCACTTTTATTGCACACCGATGGTTCGAGGACGAGCTCGGCATCCACGTTTGTGTCTGTTATCCTGTTGCTCTGGGCATCGTTCTCGGAAACCGACATGGTCAGTGTATCGTCCAGATCGGAATCCACGTGCTCCACTTTTGTGACTACGTCAAGATCGACCAAATTCTCGTTCCCCGGCAAAGTGTCCAGCCAGCTGCACACTTTATCCTTTAACGATTTCTCGCCCGAGTAATTCTCGTTCGACGCCTCCAACGGTTCTATGCCAGAGAGGCCGCATTTCGACAAGTATCTCGTCATGCTGTTGCTTTCCTTAACCATGATTTTCTTCTTCTGCGTGGGTTTTCTTCGCCCCTTTTTGCTTCTGCCTTTTCCATTATTGTTGCCAGTCGGTTGTATCTTTTGACGAGTCTCGTTCGCGTAAGAGCAGCTTGGTTTTGTCACATCCTCGGTGGTGTTGGATTTGGAACAGAACTCTGTGTTGTTCGACGAGGTCTCGCACGTGTTTAATACTGATAAATGAGTCACTACTGAAAAAAAAAGATAGATTGAATTTAAAGTATATTTATATTGATATCTCGAAACGGAGAGAGGATCAATGTCGTTCAATGGTTTTGAAGCAAAAGATTATAATAAAAGTTTTATTAGAATGCGAAGTAGT